TAAATACATATAAAATATCTTAATTCTTTAAGGAAAGGGAATCATGTATTGAAACTTGCTTTAATAATCTCAGAGTTTTGGAGCCAAGGGAGACCTTTTGTGGATCACAGTGAATAAGCAGCTAGAACACTAATCACTTTACAGCAGTGGGTTTTAGCTTGGCCAATCACTTGAATTACTTGGGGAGCAGCCCCAAGGTCTTGACCTACCCCAGGCCAATGAAACCAGAATCTCTGGAGGTGTGGCCAGGACATCCAACATCCATAAATTTTAAAGTCCTGCCAGTTGATTCTAATTCAGTCAGGGTTGTGAGCCGCTGTTGTACAGGGTTCTGGAACTTGAGTGCGTATAGAATTAGCTGGAGAGGTGGTTAACCTCCCTCTCCACTCCCTGAGGTTTTGGATTCAGTGAGTCTGGGGTGGGCACCAGGATCTTCATTCCCAGCAAGTTCCCTCATGCTGGTGCTCCCAGCACCACACTTTGAGAGCCACTGCTATATGATTTCTTAAGTTTTACATAAGTAGTTATTGTGATGACTTTAACTGGCAACTTTCATGGTATTTTTAAACGAATATGATTTATAAAAAGTTGATTGGTAAATGTATTACACAAAATTATTGTCACTAGTAAAAATAGTATTGATAATAGGATTCATCTTTTATCAGTATACATATGTTATCATAGCCATCCAGAGGTGTAGGAATCATCTAGAGATCCACGAACTCACCCTGCCCTTTGATGGGTAAGAACCCTTGCGCTGGTCACAGCACTAGTTAGGGGCCAACTCAGATGCTTTGATATTCAAACCTAAGCTGCTTCTCTTGGGCACGTGGCTCCCCTTGTAGACTTTGGTTGAGGGTTAAACCTAGTACGCATGTCCCCTCTGCATCAGCATGTCCCCTTGATGGTCTGTGTTCTTGCCTTGGATCCTTCCTTAGGAACAGGGGCATCATGAGCATTGGCCCCATTTTCTCTTTGGCATCTTTGGCCCACAGTTCCTGTCCCTTACGTCCCTGGCCTGCTGTGCTTATGTTTCACAGCTTTGTCACTTTTTCCTGGGATGTTTGTATATTTATCTAGGCAAGGTAGCATTTTTTTTTTAATGCTGAATTAGGACCATTGTAAACTTTAATAAGTTTAGAAAACTGCCAAGTTTGGAAATAATTGATTTTTTAAAATAAGAGAAATGTATATCAGTAAGAGACCATAAATCATCATGAATGCACACCAGCATGTAGAAAGCTGCGCCAGAGCTCCATGTTTGCCCTGATCCTGGGTTTTGGCCCCTGCTCATTTCTTTTTTGAATAGAAATTTGAAACTGGGAAGCGAGGGGAGGTTAGGTTTTGGGTTGGATTACCGTGAAATCCTCTTGTAAAGGGAATATCACTTTGGGTCAAAGACTTCTGGAATTGTTAAGGGTAAAGTCGAACTTTCCCAGGCAGCTGTTTTTAAGTTAGGAATTGAGCCTAGAATGGCCTAGAAGGACAGAAAAAAGTTCAGATTTTCCATCTGGTTGTAAAATGAAGACTATATGGTGGTTTGGTTACTTTATATGCTTAGTTGTGTGCATGGACTTTTTTTGTTTTAAACCTGAATGGATTCCACAGACTCTCCTTACCTCTGATTTGTGGATTTGGGGATTATACTTGAAGTGTTTAAAAAAAAAAAAATGTAAGAAAAGATATAAAGTCGGGCCAGGCGCAGTGGCTCATGCCTGTAATCCCAGCACTTTGGGAGGCTGAGGTGGGCGGATCACAAGGTTAGGCATTCAAGACCAGCCTGACCAATGTGGTATCTACTGAAAATACAAAAATCAGCGGTGTGTGGTGGCACATGCCTATAATCCCAGCTACTCAGGAGGCTGAGGCAGAAGAATCACTTGAACCTGGGAGGCGGAGGTTTCAGTAAGCTGAGATCGTGCCACTGCACTCCAGCCTAGGTGACAGAGCAAGACTCCGTCTCAAAAACAAACAAAAAGAAATCAAAGCACATATTTTTTGTAATGCTGTTGAAATTTATACGTGCCACTTTTGCCTATGTATCTAGATCTAGGTATTTAAATTAAAGCAATTAGCCGGACGTGGTGGCACATGCCTGTAATCCCAGCTACTTGGGAGGCTGAGACAGGAGAATTGCCTGAACGCAGGATGCGGAGGTTGCGGTGAGCCGAGAATGTGCCATTGCACTCCAGCCTGGGCAGTAAGAGCGAAACTCCGTCTCAAAAAAAAAATAAAAATAAAAATAAAAATAAATTAAAGCAATTTGCTTATTTACTGGAAATAAGTTTAAATGGAAAGAAAAATCATAGCAGGCAGGATAAGGCACTATGCTTCATATTGGAAAGGACAAATCATGGAATATGGACCCAGCCTGCTAAATATTTACAGTCTAATCAGGGAGATAAATCATGTGCGTATCAAAAGGCAAACCATCCCAAGTAGTAGATCAAAGCCAGCCAATCGGGAGACGTTGGTTTGGGAGAGACATAGCAGGGTGGGAAGAGGAAGGCCCTCTGATGAACCCCAGTGCATCGCTTTCTACCTTTTAAACACCACTGTGGGCCTCATCCGTACAAGAAGGACGATGGTCCCTTTTCCTGTGTGGTGAGACTGTGCCTGACATGCCCAGCACAGGTCCTGACACCAGGTGCGCAGTGTGTAGTCCCTCTGCAGTGTGGCCAGCCCGGTGTTTGTGACTGTGTGTGGGGTGGGACTCAGGCCAGACTGGGGAAGCTATGGAGGTGGGTCTGCCTGGGAAGCCGCGAGCAGGAAGCGGACAAAGACTAAGGTGAGGCAGAATTGGATGTGCAGAATGTGTTCAGAGAAGTGAAATCGGCCTGGGTGGAGGGCTTGGGACAAGATCAGAGATGACTTTTAAATCTGTTAACTTGGACTCCAAGTCCTCTATCTTTTTAGGATGTGTTGGTCTTTTCCTGCTGAGAAACAGTGTATAGCCTAGAGTGAGGGTAAAACCCCCACCTCAGCATTTTGCATTTTGCATGCCTTCTAGAGAGCCATCTTTGTCACCATGATCCTGACTTTCCTCTTCTCCCTCCCTTCCTTCTCCTTCATCTTAAAGGTTCATATAGCTGCCCCCACCTCCATTATAAGGTAAATTTCTCCCCATCTGCCCTAGTTCAGCCAGTGACACCCAGTGTTGCTCGTGGTGGACCCATTCTTGGTTGTTGACCCAAGGGCTATGTCAGCTCACAGGGCTTGGGTCTGAAATGGGGCAGTCTTGTTTTTAAAAGTGTGTAATTCCAATAATGTCCACTGTGTGGTGCAGATGCATCAGAAATAAATTCTAAAACTGGTTGAAAGGAAGCTCAAAAACATTTTAAGAATCCACAATTATAAAAATAATGGGGAAACGGCACATGTTTTTTGCTGTACACTGGTTTTCGCTAAGTTGCAGCATCCAGTGTCGTATTAATAATGTGACTCAGTTTATTTTAACTTTCGAGGAAATGTGCTGGGAGAGAACTGATTTGGATCCCAGGAGAGGAGAAAAAGGTGTGACATCTTCTGACTTCCATTTTGAAGGTGGGGGAATCCCCCTGGATGGGTTCTTTCTGGCTCACTGCGTCGCTCAGGCACATGCTAGCAGATGGAGTGAGTGTAGCCGGTGCTAACCTACTGCACTTGGAAGTCATCTTTAATACTATACTTGTGGGCTGGGTGTGATAGCTCCTTCCTGAAATCCAGCACTTTGAGAGGCCAACGTGATAGGATCACTTGAGCTCAGGAGTTCGAGACCAGCCTGGGCAATATAACAGAACCCTGTCTCTACCAAAAAAAAAAAAAAAAAATACAAAAATTAGCTGGGCGTGGTGGTGCACACCTGTGGTCCCAGCCACTTGGAAGGCTGAGGTGAGAGGATGGTTTAGAAGGCAGAGGTTATGGTGAGCTGAGATCACACCACCACACTGCAGCCCGGGCGACAGAGCCAGACTGTCTCAAAAAAAAAAAAAAAAAAAAAAAATTGCTCTTGTGGGAAGCGGTGGCTTGGACTTGGGCACTGATAGGAAAACAGACTTTTGAAACTGTGTTGAGAAGCTACAAGTTTGCTTTAGATAGTTTCTCTGAAGTAATTTCGTGAATGGTTGAATAGTAGAAGTATTGCTTAAAGAATTGGATTCTTCTTTTCTTTTGTGGACGTAGACCTGCCAGCATAACATCTTCCCGGGTTATTTTAGGAAGTTTTGACCACATCTGTGTGGAACTTCTTGAAGGAGGAACACATTCCTGTGTGTTTAATGATCATTAAGTTATTAGCCCATTAGCAAACTTTACCACTTTTGTCTTAGTTTTAATGTGGGCATGTAAAGAATCCAATTGTGTTTAAATAAAAGACCCTTGCACTGATATTTCCATACCTAGACAGGAGTATGGAAATAACTGTAAATTATAAATTATTCCTTGAAGACTGGCCCCAATGTTACTTGATAACCAAAAGATTAATAAGAACAAACTGGAAAGAAATGAGGACTGTTTAGTCTGTACAGGCAGAGATTGAGAGAGAACTTTATTGGAATCTTAAAATCATAAAAATTGTGGATTAGAGGAACACTGATTTCATAAGTTCTAAAATATTAGGACATAGAGTACTACTAGTTATCCTAAGAGGTTGTGTCAACATAAATATAGGTGGATTCCCAGGAAGTTTGTACTGCAGAGGGAGCTATGCTATTGGTAACTCTGGAAGATGACATCAGGAAAGCTAACCAGCCTCTTCCACCATCCTAGCTGATATTAAATAGGGATTGTGGAAGGGAACGTAAGCAGAGGTTCAGAGCTGCCGACTCTTCCTCCTCTTTAATCTATTATTTCTGTGATCAAAAGTAATTTTAAAATAAACCCCTGATTGCCTCTTTTTAAAAACTCTTTTAAAAATGAGAAGCTGAACTTCTCATTTAAAATGGACTTGAGTAATTGGAGTGATGTTAATATTTTCATGAGCTGTGGCCTGTTGCTTATGGAACCTTCTCTTCTCTTTGCAGGTTTTCATCTCTGTGAACTGCTTAAGCACAGATTTCTCTTCCCAGAAGGGAGTGAAGGGGTTGCCTCTTAACATTCAGATTGATACCTATAGTTACAACAACCGCAGCAACAAGCCTGTACACCGGGCCTACTGCCAGATCAAGGTCTTCTGTGACAAGGTAAAATCGGCAGGGATGCTTGGAATAAGAGTTTGAGACACACTAAAGGAAAAAGACCAGGGCATCTTTAATATTTAATATCAAAATGAGAATATAGCTGTTAACAGAGAATAGCTTTTTAAATTTTATTTATTTTTGAGACAGTCTTACTCTGTTGCCCAGGCTGGAGTGAAGCAGTGTAATCTTGGCTCACTACAGCCTCTGCCTCCTGGGTTCAAGCAATTCTTGTACCTCAGCCTCCCCAGTTGTTGGGATTGCAGGTGCACACCACCATACCCAGCTAATTTTTTTGTATTTTTAGTAAAGATGAGGTTTCGCCATGTTACCTAGGCTGGTCTCGAACTCCTGAGCTCAGGTAATCTGCCTGCCTCCAGCTCCCAAAGTGCTAGGATTACAGGCACGAGCCACAGCGCCCAGCCTTTATCAAAGATGAGGTTTCACTCTGTCACCCAGGCTGGAATTCAGTGGTACAATCACTGCTCACTGTAGCCTCAACCTCCTAGGCTCAAGCAATCCCCCAAACTCAGTCTCTTGAATAGTTGAGACTACAGGTACATGCCATTACACCCAGCTAATTTTTAAAATTTTTTGTAGAGATGGGGTCCCACCATGTTGCCCAGGCTGGTCTTGAACTCCTGGCCTCAAGTGATCCTTTCATTTTGGCTTCCCAAAGTGTAAAAACAGCAAAAGCAAAACAGCTTTTGTGTGTGTTTGTGTGTGTGTGTGTGTGTGTGTGTGTGTGTGTGTGTGTGTGTAGACAGAGTCTGGCTCTGCCACCCAGGCTGGAGTGCAATGGCACAATCTTGGCTCACTGCAGCCTCTGCCTCCCGAGTTTGAATGATTCTCATGCTTCAGCCTCCTGAGTAGCTGGTATTACAGATGCAAACCACCACGCCTGGCTGATTTTTGTGTGTGTGTTTGAGATGGAGTTTTGCTCTTGTTGCCCAGGCTGGAGTGCAATGGCGAGATCTTGGCACGCTGCAGCCTCCACCTCCTGGGTTCAAGCGATTCTCCTGCTTCAGCCTCCCAAGTAGCTGGGGTTACAGGTATGCGCCACCACGCCCAGCTAATTTTGTGTTTTTAGTAGAGACAGGGTTTCCCCATGTTGGATGGGCCAGTCTCGAACTCCTGCCCTCAGGTGATCTACCCACTTTGGCCTCCCAAAGTGCTGGGATTGCAGGTGTGAGCCACCACGTCTGGCCTAAAATAGCTTATTTTAAGTGAACAGTTACTGCTTTGGCCTTGCAAAGACACATTATATAGAGATTTTTAAAATTGCATTTTGACTGAGAGATTAGAAGGGTTGATAAGTACGTTTTGTTGGGCATGTCTGACAGGGACCCTCTGAGCCCAGCTGCTGGGTGTGTAGGCGGTCACACACCTGAAAGGATGAATTACAAAGAACTGTGGCTTCACAGACCTCTTCCCCAAAGGCCCTTCACTAAGCATGGGGAAGGAGAGGTGCGAATTCTCTACAGCCACAGGGAGGCAAGAAGAGAAAGCGCAGGGCCCCGAAGGATCCTGCATGACCTGTTTTTTCTGGTGTAGCTCCTTTATTTCTGGAAAAGAGGGACTCACTTTTGCCTGGTGCAGAGCCAGGGGCTGACGTGGATTCGATGCAGGGAGAGCCTGGAAGGTTTGTCGAGTCGTGAGGGGGATGTTTGTGCTGGCTCGGAACTGGGGAGCAACCGTGGATGAATGGATGGTCCATTGAACTAAGGCAGCAAGATCTTGACTTTTTCCTACTCAAAAATATTGGACTTTTTCTCGTGGCGGTGGGGGGTGGGGCAGTTCTTTTTATCCTATTAAGGAAACTTGTCTTTTATTAAGATTCTTAGAGGGTGCTAGGTAACTGGAAGTATGTTTGCTATCAGCAGCCTGGTCCGTCGCCCTGGCTTTTGCACCAGGTACACAGCGGCTGAGCACAGTGAATGAGCCTAAGGCCTTTTTACTCTGTGTTGGCATTTTGGTGATTTTCACCTGCCTGAGTGATGGACATTTTTGTATTATTGTGAATCTCCTTGAATTTTGTCCTGAAATCTGGTTTAGTTGGTTGGAAACCATTTGATCTTCCAGATCTTATGTCTGTGATTTGATAGGCGGTTCTGGAGCTGTGCTAAATGTAAGGCTAATCATTCTGTGCTTCTGAGCAGGCTTTTCCTGAATATTCTACCAAGTGCCCTGCTCATAAGTTTTTCCAGTCGTTGGTGGGAATAGTTACAATTTTTGGCTCGGTGTGGGTTTCAGGCACTGTTTCTCTAATCTTTTCAGATGGCCGTTCCCAACCCTGACCCCTGGTCTTGGGCAGTGTCCTGGCACCTATGTCCCTGTTGGTACCTGGACACATACTAGAGGGGGGCGCTCCCTGAAGATCTCGGAGTTCTTTCTTCTGTGGTACTTTGTCCTGCTGCCTTGGTCACTGTGGACTTCACCTCTGTCTGAAGGTGCCCTCAACCCACGGCACCTGGACTGAGACCATGCGGGCTCCCCTTCCCGTGCCACAGCCTGGGAACTCTGAAGGCAGCAGCCTGCATGGGTGTAGGGCTTACCACACATTCCTGTCTCCCAGGGATCGCTGTTCTTTGTTGCCTGCTGGTCAGGGCCTTCCCATCCTTGTTTCATGCATTTTGTCTGATTTTTGTTGTTCCAGGGTGGAGGGTAGATCTGATCTGTGTTACTCCATGTTATGCAGAAGCAGAAATGCATTATTATTTTTTATAGATTCATAGATAAAGAGGGGCAGTCCTATTTTGTCATAGGACTGTACCGTCCACCTTTTAGAGGAGGGTGTTGTTTATCATCAGAACGAAGTTATGATTAGACTGTTAGAAGGGACAGAGTGATCCAGACCAACTTCATACGATAATGGCTAGGAGATTAGAGATATTTACATGTTTTTCTATGTCAAGGAGGGACTTTTGTGTCAATGTTACATAGCAGTTTTTATAAGCAGGTTCTATATCGACTGTTAGTATACTAGCATTTCCTAGAAAAGGCAGAAGGTGGTTTTATATTCTGTTTCTAAAATGTGTTGCTTATTATATAATAATGCTAAGATCAGTGGGTTTTTATCGCCTCTCTTTGCTATCAGCAGGTTTATTTAACGGAAAAATAAGCTACCGGTTCATTCTAAACCAGATAACTACGTAAAGAAATCTGTACCATTCAGAAATTAATTCCAATAATCAAACCAAGTGATTAAATGTTATGTTTTTAATACACTTAATTGCTTGATTTTAGGTCATGTTTGTTACTAATATGGTTCTTTTAAAAATTGTTGTGGGTTCAGTTGCATGGTGCTATTAGTCTTTGCTCAGTTGATCTACAGAGTACATGGGTGTCCTTTTTCTAGGACTCTGAGCACACTTTTTCTCTTTTTTTTAAGATGGAGTCTCACTCTGTCACCCAGGCTGGAGTGCAATGGTGTGATCTTGGCTCACTGCAACTTTTACCTCTCAGGTTCAAGTGATCCTCCTGCCTGAGCCTCCCAAGTGGTTGGGACTACAGGTGCCTGCCACCACACCTTACTGATTTTTGTATTTTCAGTAGAGGCGGGGTTTCACCATGTTGGCCAGGCTGTCCTGAGTTCAAACGATCCACCTGCCTTGGCCTTCCAAAGTGCTGGGATTACAGGCGTGAGCTACCATGTCTGGCCAGAATTTTGCTTTTATTTGTTTGTTTTTCAAATGAATGTTGCTCCTTGTGATTTCATAGAATTAAAAATAATTTTTAAGACTAATCTTTTTAGAAAAAACTGCTATGAGAAGCCTCATTTATATAGTAAGGGAGTTCCTGTCCAGAGAAGAGAGAACGGTTTTTCCCCCCACTGGTCAGGATAAAAGTTAAATATTTTGAAGATTGGAAAACAATCGTATCTTGTCTTCTCTTGATATATAGGGAGCTGAGCGGAAAATCAGGGATGAAGAACGAAAGCAAAGCAAAAGAAAAGGCAAGTGTCCTGACCCCAGCTCCCAGTTGAATGCCTGTAAGTAGAAGTGTTCCCACCAAGCTTCAGACCTTTTCCGTTCAGAATGGTGGCTGGAGTTTACACACAGAAGATAGTGGGTGTCCTCCCTGTCCCGCAGTACTGCACTGCCTCTTCCTCAGATGCCCCAGTAGACACTGGCTCAGTGGGATAGTTTTCCTGGAGCCTACAGGATGGATCCCCAGGTTTTCTCGAGCTCAACTTTTCCAGCTGTCAATTCTAGTTCAGACTCCCGCTTCCAGTCTTGGAAAATGACACATATTCTACATGAATCGCTATTAAAATTGGGACTTATCTAGATTTTTGAAAGTCATAATAATGGTTTTGTGAATTCAAGATGCCTTAACTCCAAATAGGATCATTTTTGTATCCGAAGTATAATGTTTTAATATTTCCAGAAGCTATAAGGCTTCTATTTGGACATTTCACCAGGAAAGCTTTTTTTTATTTTTTTATTGTGACCAGTATTCATATTCACAAAATCTTGTATCTAAAGTGAAGAAAGTGCCGCTCGGTGCCTGTAGGGTTTCATCTGTAGTACGTGGGCTTCTGGCTTGCTCTTTTGAATGGTCTGTCTGGCTCAGCAGACATTTGCCGTGCAACACCTTAGTCAGGATTCTCCTGCTGGTTATCAAAGTGCAAACTCCCAGTGACACTTCAGAGACAGCTGACTAACCAGAAGACCTCATTACTGAGTACTGCAAGGCCAGATTACTGGGGAAGATGGAGTCCCTGACTTACTAAGTTAAAAATTAGATGGGCATGCTTACACTTCACCTCATTGTCGGGTATCTTGATATGTTCTGAAGTCAATGGGTTCGTTACTGTTAGAATGTAAATTATTTAATGAGGACAGCTGAGGTGAAATTTCTTCCAAATTATGTTTATACAATTATAAATTTTGGCCTTTTCAATGAAAACTAAATATACTCTATCTCTGTTGCAAATCTTGTGTGGATATGTGTCTCTGTGTGTTTGAAGATACCTTTTCCCTTTTGGTTTGATAAGACATTCAGATGATTTTAGTGGAAATACACACAACAAATTCCTTTACATAAATTGGGATTCTTCTTAGTCAGCCAGCATGCCCTGTTGTGTCTTACAGAGTACTACACTTGAAGTGTCTTACACAGAGGTGAGTGCTCTGGGGCCTGCATCCAGTCTGTATATAATCCTTTGACCTTCGGTTTCTCTCTCTTTTTTTTTTTTTTTCCAGTTTCTGATGTTAAAGTACCACTGCTTCCCTCTCACAAGCGAATGGATATCACGGTTTTCAAACCCTTCATTGATCTCGATACTCAGCCTGTCCTCTTCATTCCTGATGTGCACTTTGCCAACTTGCAGCGGGGCACTCATGTAGGTACCCAGGATCCCAGGGGAGGTTCCCAGGAAGGAAAGCATGGCAAAAGGAAATTCTTTGGCATTATTCATGAGAAATAGAAGCCAAAATTGGGTGAAGTTTGACCAGTTAGTCAGCTCTTTGGAATATTCTGCTGGGGTAACATGGTGCCCATGCAATAAAATATAGATTGTTGATTTGAAGGTGCAGTGCAGTCTCAGCTTTATTCTGTTTGCATTCATTCATTCATTCATTCATTCATATCCTAGCTCATTTCAAAGATTCCAGGATAGTAACATAATTTGGAGTTTGAGCCTGTGATCTTTTTAAATTTAACTTGGGAGAATACCTAGGTTAAGGAGCTTTCATAGCATAAGAACATCTGAAGGCTTTTCTCATGGTTCCAGTTACTGAGCTGTCCTTGCCATGTGTAGTTACCAATGCCTTGGCAACTAAAGCTAAATTTTAAAAAATAGTCATTCCTGGTTTGTGGCAAAGGCTTACTAGAGATAGGAACTTCAGTAGAATGAGGCATAGTTTTATGCTGAGTGCAAATAAGTATTGAAAAGACAGTCTTTCCTGCACTTTGTGGACAGATTTATAAGGACTAAAGATTTGTTGGTGTTCTTGGGGCCATGGCCAGTACGTTTAGTTTCTGATGGAAGTGAGCAGGGGTCAGCAACGCTGTTTTTGCGAAGGGCCAGGCGGTAAAGGTTTTCAGCTTTTGGGACCACATGGTGTGCACTGTGCTGCTCAGCTCTGCCACACTAGTGCAGATGCAGCCATAAGCAGCATGTGAATGAATGAGCGTGGCTTTGTTTCAGTGAAGACTTTATTTACATAAACTGGCCATGGACCAGATTTGGCCCAACCGCTGAGTTAGAGGAGTTCCATCCAGACATCTGTAAGAATCTGGTTATTGAAAATTAGAGGTAAAGGATTTTATATTAGATTATATATTATATGTTTATAATATAATATTTTATTATTATATATTATAAACATATAATATATAATCTAATATAAAATAGAAAATCTAATATAAAGGATTTTATATTAGATTTTCTATTTTATATTAGATTGGTCAAAGTCAGATTATTTCTATTTTAGGAATAATTGATTTATGGTCAAACATTTTGAGCACACATTTGAAAAGCAATCTGCTTCTTTGATCTTAGGTCCTTCCCATTGCCTCAGAAGAATTGGAGGGTGAAGGGTAAGATTTATGTTTCGTTTCAATAATGAAAACAATCTCAAACTTGTAGAAAAACTGCAAGTACAGTACAAAGAGCTCATTTTTCCCTGAGCCATTGAGAATAAGTTGCCAACCTGATGGCCCATCACTCCTGAATATCCTGGTGTATATTTCCTCCTAACAAGGAGATCCTCCTGTGTCACAGTCAAGATCAGGTTATTAACATTGCTACACTAGAACCAATAATGTCCTTTATAGCAAAAAAGGATCCAGTTCCGGATCAAAAATTGTAGTTAGCTGTCATGTTCGTTAATTATCTACAGTCTAGAAATATCTCAGCTGCTCCTTAATTTTTCTGACCAAATATTTTTGAAGATTTCAACCAGCTGTTTTGTAGACACTTCTGAGTTTGCGTGCATCTGCTGTTTTCTCATGGCTAGGTTCCAGTCCTGGCAGGGATGTAATAGAGGCGAGGCTGGGTTCTCCATGCATCCTAGCAGATGGCGCTCGATGTCAGTTTATCCTGTTACTACCGGTGTGCTTTGGTCACTTGATTAAGATGGTATCTACTAGCTTTTCCACTGCAAAGTGGCTCCTCTTGTAATAAGTGTTGTCTGGGGAGCTACATTATAGCTTTGTAAATATCTCATTCCCCATCAAACTTTCAATTTACTCATTTATTTATTGCTATCAGTATGAACTCATAGTTTCCTGTTTTATTCGATAAGTTGTGATCCATTAGTCATTTACTTTGATGCTCAGGTTGTCCCAGAATTGGGCTCTGCCTTCGTATGCCAGGCAGTCCCCTACTCAGACACTGCCCAGTGGAGGCGGCCGACACTGCCTCTCTTTGGGCCATCAGAACCTTCTTGATGGCTCTGGGAATTTTTTCAACAAGGTAAAGGTTCTTGTTGTTTTTATTTCATTTTACTTTTAGAGACAGGGTCTTGCTCTGTGGCCCATGTAGGAGTAGAGGGGTGCAATCAGAGCTCACTGCAGACTTGAGCTCCAGGGCTCAAGTGATCCTCCTGCCTCAGCCTCCCAAGTAGGTGGGCCTACAAGGCACATGCCATCACATCCAGCTAATTATTATTATTATTATTAATTGTTACTATGATTGTAGAGATCCTGGCTTCAGGCAGTCGTCCCGTCCCCCCGCCTCAGCCTCCCTGTTTCTGTTGTTACCTACTCTCAGAAAGGTGCATCTTGGTGGAAAGAGCCGAGGTTTTTATGGGAAGTTTATCCCTCCACATCCCCCTTGCCTTATCTTCCATCCATTCCCAGGGCTTGAACCATCATACTGGGGACAGCCATGCCCCACACTTTACCCACCGTGCCTCTCTCTGAAGGCGAGGCCTGCACTGCCCCTTTGATTCTTAGTGTTTGAGACTTAAGTCCTGCAGGCACCTTCACTGGACAGCTGCTATGTGCTAGGAACTGAGATAACAAAGCCTCGGAGGCTCAGCCTGTGCACCTGAAGTGGCCGTTCTGCTCCAAATCCAGCACTCACTCCCTTCACTTTCAGTTATTTGCCTCTTCTCTTGTTCACTGCAATACCGCCTGCCGGAACCTCCATACCAGCTACCCCTGGTAGCCAGGAGCTCAATCTGAGCTTTTCTCTCCTCAGACTCTTCTTGGTCTGTTCTCCCCTTTTGGCTTCCATGACACCATCATATTTTAAACCTGCAGAATCCTGTGCTCAGATTAACCTCCTTCCGCTAGTTCCTCTGCCTGAAGGTCCTGGGGTCCCCTCCAATGTTGACCATACACTTTGGGTACCACACCCTGTTTTCATATAGTCCCTCTTCCCTGCCATGTAAAATTTAATTCCTTAGAGCTGAACGAGGACATTCACGGTTGAGCCAGCCTCCCTTCCTAGATGTGGCTTCCTGTGGGCCACTCTGTTTGAGCCAGGCTGGCCCTGCATTTTCTTGCACACACTTCCCCAGTATTCTGAAATGTCATCTCCTTTGTTACTGTCTGTACAAGGTTATCTCAGATCCTACCTCCTCCATAGACTGTTTCCTGAAAAGAAGCACCCAACAATTAGATGTGGTGGCTCACACCTATAATCCCAGAACTTTGGGAGGACATAGCAGGAGGATCGCTGGAACCCAGGAATTTGAGAACATCCTGGGCAACAAAGGGAGAACCCAATTCTACAAAAATAAAAAAATTAGTGGGGCATGGTGGTGTGCGCCACTTGGGAGACTGAAGTGGAAGGATTGCTTGGGCCTGGGTGGTCGAGGCTGCAGTGTGCCATGATCCGTGACGGCACCACTGCACTCCAGCCTGGGCAACAGAATGAGACCCTGTCTCAAAAGAGAAACAAAAAACAAAGCGCCTCATCCTCAAGAAAGCAGCTTTATCTAATGAGAGTGAGGGGCAAATACCTGCAAGCAACGTGAGTGTGGCCCCATATCTGCCTGTAAATATCCGTGAGCCCTGGAGTCGGGATCTTTCTTCAGGCCTGCCTTTTCATCCCCAAATGAGGAAGCTGGACCAGATAAAGAATGAAAGTCATTTTAAATCTAGTTCCATGATAGGCTCGTAAACAGCTTTGTTGATGCAGCTTGCTGAGTTCAATCACTAACTAGTGTATTTTGGATCACTGCAGGTCTGCCTTGAAAAGGGGGCCGTACGGCACAGAAGATGACTTTTCTGTCCCTCCTTGTACCAAGCTGTCCCGGATAGAAGAACCAAAGAGAGGTGTGTTGGTTTCCATTTCTTAGTGGGAGTTTTAAATCAGAAGTGAGTTTGGAATCTATCAAAAATGTAAATTACTCAAATACATTTTTTCCAATTTCACTTGCTGGAGAATTCTTCCATCAGACCAACATCTAGCTCGAGCTAGGACTTCTGGCAAAGTTCAGAGGAGCTGAAACCTGTGTTCCTTAAGACAGAATTTATATTGGCTGATGTTTGTCATCCTTGATGTGAATGTGGTTTTTATTTTAGCTAGTACCCATGGTCTGTTTTCCTCTTTTGCTCATGTGAACTGAATCCTTTTTTTCTCTTTTCCCTTCCTTATTCCCGGTTGGGGATTGATTAGTGCTACTCTATGTTCGAAAGGAGTCAGAAGAAGTCTTTGATGCCCTGATGCTCAAGACCCCATCTTTGAAGGGCTTGATGGAAGCTGTAAGTAGGATCCACTCTGTACTCCCCGGTACAAAATGAAAGGAACGTACATAGAATTTTATTGAAGCAGTTTATCAGATGATCCAAATCCTTTGTCAGACCTTCTGGAATCCTTGACACTTTTCTCAAGTCATCACGTGTCCCACGTTTTATCCTAAGCCAAGGATCCTATGTACTCACTCAGTAATACCTAGTTCACTGAATTGAATGGATTTGTGATGGCCTGTGAAATAGTTTAATTTGTATATACATGGTTAAATGGAGATTGCCATTTACCATTTAGAAGCTAACAAAAGTGATTTTTTATCAAGTAGAATCTTAAAAACTTCATATAGAACAACTTCATATAGTGGCTCCTCAGTCTGCCTTTGAAACTCCTAATCCTAGAACACTACTGAACTTATATCCAAGACCTCACGACAGCCTATTGGAGAGAAAGTAGAAGTGTAACCAGTGATGGCAGTAAGTCTGTCTTACAAGGATCTCAACATAGGGCTAGAATAAACTGACCCCATATTCCCTGTGGTGATATCAGTAAGAGAGGAAACGTGGAAGGCTGCTGTGTTAATTTCCCATTCCGGCTATACCCTAGGAAAATCGCAGGTCATCAGCACTGAGTGCAGATATTTACCACCCTGTCTCCTACAGGCCATGGAGATCTTTGAGCTCAAAGTGTGTCCATAATTGGGCTGAAAACATCTCCCCCAGCTCCCTCTGATGACTGTCATGTGTTGAATTCATAACACATCTTGATGAAGGGCATGCTTCATGCCAGGCACTGTGGCGGGCACTGGAGTTACGAGCATCAGTGACACAGTACTGAATGGAGTTTATGTTCTAGTTAGGAAGACAGAGACACCAAAATAAGTAAAGAAATTGAGGTCCTTTTTCAGGTACTGGTAAGTGCAATGAAGAGGAATAAAGCAGGGACTTGGGGCATGGGTTTGGGGAGCTGCTGTGCGTCTCTCAGCCAGGCACCCCAAGTCCATGGGTGTCACTCAGCACATCCCTGTCCACCTATAGTACTACAGCACAGGCAGCACCATTCCTACTGTCGCTTCCTGCCTCCTGGGATGTCCCCTGGGTTTCTCTTTTCTTGCCTTTTGAGGATCCTTCATTATGTCTTTTTTTTTCTTTCTTTCTTTCTTTGAGACCAAGTCTCACTCTGTCACCAGGCTGGCGTGCAAGTGGCACAGTCTCAGCTCACTGCAACCTCCGCCTCCCGGGTCCAAGTGATTCTCCTGCCTCAGCCTCCTGAGTAGCTGGGACTACAGGCACATGCTACCACGCCCAGCTAATTTTTGTATTTTTGGTAGAAACAGGGTTTCACCATGTTAGCCAGGATGGTCTCAATCTCCTGACCTCATGATCCATCCACTCCAGCCTCCCAAAGTGTTGGGATTACAGGCGTGAGCCACCATGCCCAGCCCGTGGTGTCTTAAGAATCATGCCAACTGTTTCGGCAACAAACATGTAAAACTTTGGGCTGAAAAGAAAAAAAAAAGAATCATGCCAATTGGCCGGGTGTAGTTGCTCATACCTGTAATTCCAGCAGTCTGGAAGGCCGAGGCAGGCAGATCACCTGAGGTCAGGAGTTCGAGACCAGCCCGGCTAACATGGTGAAACCCCATCTCTACTAAAAATACAAAAAATTAGCTGGCTCATGCATGTAATCCCAGCTACTCGGAAAGCTGAGCCAGAAGAATTGCTTGAACCCGGGAGGCAGAGGTTACAGTGAGCTGAGATCATGCCACTGCACTCTAGCCTGGGAGAGCAAGACTCTGTCTCAAAAAAAAAAAAAAAAAAAAAAAAAAAAAAAAAAAAAAGAATCATGCAAACCCTGATTACAGGGAGAGAGGAGAGCCAAGAGGATGGAGAGTTACTGTGCCAGCATAACTGTTCGTGGCTCACAAGGAATTCATGACAGGATCTTTGATTTCATAACATACAAAGTATTATCCACTGGTACAGAAAAGAAAAAGGGCTTATGTGGTGAGAACTCGGAGCTGGGGTCTGGTCTGAAACATGTGTTTGGAAGATTGGCGGGATCTGCAGGTTCGTCATCTGATGCTCTGTTTCTCAGTGCCCCCTTGAGCTTTGCTCTGTGGCTTGAGGTGAAGCTGGCAATGTCAGCCTGAGAATGGTCTGGATGACAAGTGTGAATCAAGTATTGGATCTGGAGTGAATCAGCTATTTGTCGTTGGAGGAACTCACTCATTCTCTTTAAAAATAGCCTCTGGGCCCCAAAAGGAAGACAGCCAGAGTTTACACAGAGTAGCTCATTACAGGGGGCAGCCGGCTGAGGAGAGGCAGAGGCCCAGCACATGAGCTGGGGTTTTTCCATGTCTTTGTGTCTGATTTTTGAAAAACAAAGTTGAGTGACTGCACACATATATACATATATATGTTGCTGTTTGGTTTCTAAAGCCTTAGTACAGGGTTTCGTAATTTTTCTTTTTTCCTCTTTAGATCTCAGACAAGTATGATGTTCCTCATGACAAGATTGGGAAAATATTTAAGAAGTGTAAAAAGGGGTAAGCAGCCACTGCATCCTTCGTCCCTCAGCAAGTGCTGATCCCCACCCCTTCCGCAGTGCCAGTGTGACACACCCCTATGCCAGGGACATATCCCCTGTGCCCGTGTGACGTGTGCATTATGCCCAGTCCACAAGGAGCCAAAGAAACCTGGGTGCTAGAATGTGGCTTTTCTAAATTATATACGAAATTACTTAAAACAAAAATTGATCTGGCTTGAGGAGATCTTCGTGGATTGCTTTTCTAAGTCACCTTTGCCCTCCACATGCCTGGCAGCAGTGCCATGGCTCCATACCCCAGGGTGCGTGACCAGTGCCACTGAGGATGGCCAGGGCAGCCCCTCTGTGTGTGGAGCTGTTGGAGCCAGGCATTGGGTTGGGCACGTCCATGGTGCTGCACTTGGTCTTCGCGGCTTCTTTCCGAGTTGGTCTTAGGGCTTGTTGTTCATAGTTTATAGACAGGCAGTTGAGGGGCAGAGCTCGGCAGGCTTGTTGGCGCCGCAGTTCATATCCGCTGCCTCTGCAGCCCGTGCCTTGCTCTACCTTCCTGCCCAGGATCCTATTTCCCAGTTATTTCACGTTGCTGCTTTGTCCAGAAATTAGTATTTTTCGTTCTTTTTTTGCCTGCCTGTGATATTTGGCATGGATAAGCAGGGGCTAGCATGAGAATTTTTTGTCTTAGTTTTAAAACAAATACTAATGGGAAATTTCTAGATGGTTCTAGTGGAAAGAGTTGGACTTAGTAGTTCATTTATTTTTGTTTTCTTATTCTTTATTTTTTGTTTGATAATAGTAGTTCATTTAAACTTTGAGGCTAACCTGCTGGAGTGTGTAGTTTGTCAGGGGGCTGTGGCTTCACACCATGTAAGTTAATGTTATTGATGTACTTTTGCTTTATTCGTTTAGAGATGGTTTCACTCTGTCGCCCAGGCTGGAGTACAGTGGTGCAATCGTAGCTCACTGTACCCTTGAACTCCTGGGCTCAGGCAATCCTTTCACCTCAGCTTCCCAAGTAGCAGGAACTACAGGCATATGCCACCACATCCAGCTAGTTTTTAAATTTTTTCTATAGAAAAGGGATCTTGCTATGTTATCTAGGCTGGTCTTAAACTCCAGGGCTCAAGTGAGTCTCCTGCCTTAGCCTCCCAAAGTGTTGGGATCACAAGTATGAGCCAAGTACCGTTTACCAAGTAACTACTATTAAATATATGCCAGAAATGATAGCCACAAATAAGCTAATATATTTCATTTCCCATGTGCCGTGATATAAATATATCACCTGATTTCCTCCTCACTTAATTCTCTCAACAGTCCTATAAGGATGAGTACTATTATTATCCCCATTTTATAGACGAGGAAGTTGAGGCTTAAGGAGATTTATAATTTGCCTCACATGCCACAACTAGTAAGTGGGAGAGCTAACAGTTAAATCTAGGCCTGACTCCAGAGCCAAGGGGAGGTGAAGTTGGTTTGTCTTGTCTTTCCCCATCCAGGATCCTGGTGAACATGGACGACAACATTGTGAAGCATTACTCCAATGAGGACACCTTCCAGCTGCAGATTGAAGAAGCCGGGGGGTCGTACAAGCTCACCCTGACTGAGATCTAAAGGCTCGTGAGCCACAGCTCCCCAGGAGTTCAGTGCAGGTGTTTCTAAATCTTACGGTTTGGCAAGTGCAGATAACCCCAGTCAGTCATCTCACCAGCACAGGTCTATGTCGAGGGAAGGGTTTCCTTGCAGATTGGAAGTGGGGCTGTATCTGGCTCGGTGGTAGCATTTAACCTATTGCATTGGCGTTTTTCAGATGAAAGAGAAATCCATGTGCCATTATGTTTGAATTTCCTGATATATACAGGATTTAAACTGAAAAATTTATTCTAAGAGTTAACAGAGTCTCTAAGAAGCTTTGGGATATCTGCTATGTTATTTATCAAAATATTGGGACATCTGCCTTGTGCCTACAGTGTCGTTGGCCTGAGGTCAGCAGAAGTCAGAGAAGGTGAAGGCTTGGCTTTAAGTATTATGTGCCCTTGCCTGAATTCAGTACAACTCCACTGCCTCAGGTTAGTGGGAGCGAACCTGAAGAGTAAAGGGTGAGCCCTCTCTCCCTTAACCCTCTCATTCTCCACCAAATGTTTACTAAACAGGGCACGTTACTGAAATCTTCCTTTGCGACTTTCTTGGACATATCAACTGCCTTTCTCATGAAGAATTTTAATGGGTTACAGTATGAAATCAGTTACGATAAAGCTGCATTGTATATAAGTGCAATATATTTTTGAAGGTCTGTAAATGTGTACATACATGTCTTATATAAATATATAATATATAAATGTGGTGTCTGTGTACATATAGTGAAGATATGCAGTAAGATCTACCTTAAAGACTTTCCCTAGACAAAGGTTAAGTTATTTTTGATAATGTATACCAAGCAGATAGAATACTGTGCTTAGTGGAACCAACTAAAAACCTTGTTCTCTGTGTTTTTCCAGACACAAGCAGTCATTTTGTAGCATAGCAAAACTTTCTCAAATGACAGATTGTTTGCTATTGAGAATGTTGTTACTTGGATTTCTGTACTGTTTAACAAATGAAGTAAAAGAAAAACACTATTGCAATTCACATCTTTTGTTATGCTAGTATCAGTCAGATGTACTTAGAAGAAACACAGTAATTACATCAAACATATTGCAAGTGTTGTGTACCAAGTGATACAGCTCAAAATGGAGTTGTCATCTCTCTGTTTGGAGAAATGATTATTTTATCAGTGCTTCAGATCCTTGGTGCTTTGATTATCTTGTATGTTAACAATTCTAGAAAACATTCATGAATTTATAAAAATACATTACTGTGGCAGGGGAACATTTTGTACACATTTAAATATATAAAAATACTAAACTATATAATTTTATAACAAAGTCACGGGTATCTAGGTTCAGGGAGCTAGACTGGGTCATTTGCGTACGTAGGACTGGTAGTTACAGTCTTGGGTTAAAGTACTCTAATGAAGTATGGGAACTAAATTGCTGATTTTCTAAGATAAGAGACGGGATATGGGTCATACAACTATTTTATATTTTTTATGAAATTGATTTTGTGTATTATTTTCAATTGTATCATTGAAGATGTATTTTAAAACAAAGGGATTAAATTTTATATGTCTATTTCGTAATATGTCATTTCCTGTTTTTCAATCTGACTTTATCTTTTCGTTGGTCAGTAAAACATGAGAGCTGAGAAGCATCTCTTGCCAGCACTTTCTCCTTCTCTCTTAATGTGTATGGTTAGGTTGTTTCCTTCATGTTAACTTTTTCTCACTGATGTCTGAAATGATCCACGTAATTGTTAAGTCAAGATCCCTGAAAGATTTTTCAATTCTTACTAAAATTTAACCACTAAAGCTGAAGGTAAATGCTTTCATACCTAAATCTTTCATACAAAAATCTTTGTATTTTTAGTGTTTAAAAGCCTAACAAAATATATTTAGTTAAAAAAATCCACCAATGTTTAAATCATCAGAATTTCTAAAACAGGCGTTCTGAGCATATTCCAGGGTAATCCAGGGCCCAAATATTATAGACACTAAAACATATTTTTAATGAATACATGATCAAATTAATGAAGTAAACTCCCTGATAGGGCTCCTGGGACATCTGGATTTTTCACAGTAACCCTTGGGCCAAAGTCAAGATTCTCCTGTAGCCTGGGTTCCCATTCACTCAGTCGTTCCAGAGTCTTGCTCCACACAGGAGGCCTGGAAATGCAGCCAGGCATCCTCATCCTGGGAGCCCCTCCTCACTCCATGGATTTCCTTTACCCCTTGCCTTCTCAGGACTTACCTTTGCATCAAAACTTGCCTTTTCCCCAGCCTCCGCAGGGCATTACCCCTGGTTCCTCAGCCTGGCACTCCCTCCCCGCTCTCGAAGCTCCAGGTGCTGACAGACACCTGCGGCCTTCTTCGCAGCCTGTCATTTCCTGGAGAGCAGGCTTTGGTGTCTTTGTCAGCTTTGGCTCTCTGGCACCAAACCTAATGCTGATTACATAGTAGATGCTCAGGGAATGATTCTATATTGATAAAATGACTAGTTAACCATTAAGAACTGCCTTCAAATAATGCAGTCACTTGCAAAACATCAGCAGGGAGTGTTTTTAGACATTACATGCCCAGCAATCAGTCAGGGCTGGATTTGGACCAGTAGGCCACAGAGTAGGACCAGTAGGTAGAATTATCAGGGACTCAGGTGTACCACTGTGCATGGCTTTCTCGCCTGGACCTTTGCAGTAACCCAGCTGGACTCATTGTTTTCACCCCTGGGCCCTTCTTTTATTCTTAATCTAGCGGCCATGATGATTCTTCTGAACTATAAGTCGGGACTCTGCTCAAAACCCTGCGGTAGCTCCCTGATTCACTCATAACGGATACGAGATCTGTCCCCCGGCCATTGACCTCAAATTACACCATAGCTGAAGGTCCTACAGAGGCCTGCCGAGGTTATGTAATGTTGAGAGCAAATGTAAGCATTTAGGTAATAAACGTCTTTGACTCTTAGTTTTCTGTTGCTGAAAGTCATGTGGGCGACATTTGCTCAATTTTAGTCATGTTTCCAGGAAGACTCGTTTTATGAGCCTCATGGGATATTGGTGGTGTTAATAACAAGAAGAGTTGAAGGTTGAGTGTCAGGATTGCTGTTGTTAGCAAATACTTTTATCTCCCTATTAAAATTAATCAGAAGCACTTCGCTTGCAGCTGGCAGGGCCAACAATACACCTTCAGTGCCCCGCCTCGGGGGCTCTCCTGGATTCCTCAGCCTGGTATTCACTGTGTGAGGGGTCTGGTCTGCAGCAACTGTGGTCACCTTTCCAGCCCACAGGGTGTCAGTCAGCCCTTCCCATTGCTGAGGGTGCAGGAGATACCTGGAGAGCAGGAGGCAGCGTCTCCCCCAGACAGCGTCAGGAAGTTACATGGACGTCAAAGGGTGGAATACAACCCCTGCAAAAATTCAGGGGCTGCCTCAATAACATTACTGGGGGGCCAACAATCTGGAGCACGTAACAAGTCCCCTCCAGGGAGAAGGACAAGTGCTGCTGGGTCCCTCCACCGCTACTCTCCAGCCTCCTTCACCTGCTGTTTTTTCCCCACCGCATTTATCACTCTAACCTGGTATCTATTTTACTTGATGATTGTGCTTATTGTTTGCCATTTGCCTTCCTTTGCCAGAATGTTCCCCGTACTGGAACAAAGTTTTTTTGTCTGACTTGTTTGCGGACAAATCCCAAATGCTCCAAAAATCCTGGTACCCTGTAGATACTTGTGTGCATACCTATTGGCCCTCCCGGTTCCTTCTCCCCGCCTTTCCCCCCGGAGGCTCACCTGTGGGGCCCACACCAACCCCTGTGGGTTGTGGGGAGATGGGAGGAGGAGAGCATTCCCCAGCTCTCACAGGCCACCCAAGCAGTGTGTACCTGAAGCCCACCGTACCTCTGTAGAACTTTCCCTCCAGGTCCTCACAACTACATCCTTGTCCCCTCAGGGATCAGCTGCTGCCTGCCGGAGAGTAGGACACTAGCCCTGTAGGTACCCCTCCATTCCCGTCTTGGGAAATAGTCCCTTAAATACTCCCTTCTTGAATTAGCGTCTTTTTTTTTTTTTTTTTTTTTTTTTTTTTTTTTTTTTTTGAGACGGAGTTTCACTCTTGTTACCCAGGCTGGAGTGCAATGGCGCGATCTCGGCTCACCGCAACCTCCGCCTCCTGGGTTCAGGCAATTCTCCTGCCTCAGCCTCCTGAGTAACTGGGATCACAGGCACGCGCCACCATGCCCAGCTAATTTTTTGTATTTTTAGTAGAGACGGGGTTTCACCATGTTGACCAGGATGGTCTCGATCTCTTGACCTCGTGATCCACCCGCCTCGGCCTCCCAAAGTGCTGGGATTACAGGCTTGAGCCACCGCGCCCGGCTGAATTATCGTCTTTTGAGTGTACTGTCTGTTTTCATGTCACAATCCTGGTTGATACAGTGCTCAATTTTCACTGAATGAATGAATGAAGGAATGAATGAAGTTCTAGTCTAAGTCCAAAGGTCTTTTAGGGCTGGGTATCTTCTTTCAGCCCTTCCAGATCCCCTCTCCACCCTTTTCCCCGGAAGGCTTAACCTGTGGGGACCGCACCAACCCAGAGGCTAAGGCCCCTTACTATCCCACTCCCACTCAGTTCTCAGGCCTTCAGACTGTCTGAGTTACACCACCAGCTTTCCCGGTTCTCCCGCTTGCTGACAGCAGATCTCGAGAGGGACTTCTACACCTCCAGAATCGTATGAGCCAATCCCTGTGGTAAATAAACAAAACATACTGGTTCCGTTTCTCTGGAGAACCTGACTAACACAAATTTGTTTCCAAAAATGGCTTCAGAAGAACAGAATTTTAAGGATGTTTTTCAAACTGGTTCTGGGGTTTCTGGAACTGGCTCTCTAAATGGATTAGATTCAAAGATGCTAATGCCGCCATTGCAATTAGTAACGAGGACACCAGGAGTCCATGGTGTGAACTGTTTATAGAAATACACAAAGTATCTGTATTGAATACTCCTACTAATCAACCGCTTGTGAAAAGCAAGAAGCTGAGTGATTCTGTAGATGAGAACTTTAGACATTTTTGGGAAACTAAGCAATACAACGGCATTGGTTGGTTGGTCCTGACGTCACTGGACAAAGTGGTGAAAGAAGAAGATGAGCTCCAGGATTCAAATTCCCAGCCCAAGAGCTGCACAAATGACCGAAGAGCTGCTAGGTGTGCCTTAAAGGAGACTCCTGTCTCCTGTGGCCAAGAAAGACTGAAATGACTGAAAAGCAAATGCAGACCCTCAGCCTTGGATTCCCTGTATTACAATGCAAGTTGAACCCCCAGCCTTGCTGAACATCTGCTATTCAAATGTGGGCATTGATTGGAAAGCAATGGGATCCTGTACGGTGGAATGAGGATGCGTGGGAAGGCTGATGAAACGGGTCGTTGAGTCCCTAAGTGCTGATGAGTCTTGTTTGCCTTAGGGAGAGAGGTCTTCCCACCCACCGGTGGGACTGGCCTCCCCATCCCCAGTGGCAGGGGCCTCCCCACTCAGTGGCATGAGCTTCCTGCCTCTGTCTAGGGGAACTGACTACATTGCCCGAGGAAATGGTAGTGGCCTCACCGAGGCAGTTTTTCAAACTGCTGATTCTCCTCAGGAGTCTTCCCCCACTCCCTCTTACAGACCTAAACTAGACCCAGGTCCCAGCGGACCCCTAAAGGTGAGAAGCAGTCTGACCTGTGAGGAGGTGTGCCACCTTCCAGAAGAACTGCCCGAGTTTTCTAATTTATACAGAAAGGAATCCGCGGATCATCTATACGTCTAATTCATTCAAGAAGAAATTGTTCCCTGTAAGTGAATGAATATAAAGGGTGTGGGATAACGGTGAAAGAAACGTGAAGTTGGATCAGGCCTATCTTACTGATGTGGGTCTACAAAGCAGAGTTTCTGCATTTAATGTTGCAGGCGGGGAGTTAGAAGGGACCCTAACCGTTTGGTGGGTTGGCTGAAACATGGATTGAACTAGGGCCCACAGTGAGCAAATTGGAAATTCCCAGTCTCTCATGGTTTGATGTAGAAAAAAACCTTGGGGAGATTGGAACGTTCCAGTAGCTTTGTCATTTAAGGCCGACTCGCCTGCACTGAGAGAGTCCAAAAAAACACACCTTTCACCAATGCTTTGAGCCCCAACAACCCTGAAGAGCTCCGTGACACACACCTCTGTAGGCTAGACCTTATAGTGTAGACTGCAGCCCCACCGGAAAACCGAAATGCAGTGGGAGTAATTGGGTCATGGGTGGGGCAGCGACTAAGTGGCAGCACACCAGCAAAGCCAAGGTCGGCATGGTTCACTTAGCGAACAGTGGATCACAGCCACCATCACAGCGGTCTGGCTAGTTAAGCATGGTGTTCCTAGGAGTGAAATTATTCCTACTTGACCTGTGTAAGCAAAATGGTCTAGGTCAAGTGAACAAAAGTCTTACTTGAATCATTATTTAAAAAAAGAAAAACCTCAGGCCAGGCGCACACTGGCTTATGCCTGTAATCCCAACACTGTGGGAGGCCGAAGTGGGCAGATCACGAGGTTAGGAGTTTAAGACAGGCCTAGCCAACA